CTTATCACCGACCAGGCCCTGGGTGAAGAGCAGGGTCTTTATAAGTTACTACAGGTGGGAGCGGGACATAAGGGCATTGCCTTGCCTGTGGGTGGATCCTCGCGGTGGTGAGGGCTGGGATACGACGAGGAGCCGAGAAGGGTTTGGCGGGGCGCTAGTACGGCGGTCTTGGCTAGCCTGTCCGGGCCTAGCTGCGCGTACCCACTATGCTGGGCATGGCATCGACGGCAGACGGCACAGCACAGAGTTTTCACACAAGGCCGGCCGTGGGCAACCCCGCTCGTCGTGTGGTGTGCAAATGCGCCATGGAGAATGGCTGGGCCGTTGTGGGTGTATGGTCTACTAGAGGGCGGGCTTGCGTTAGTGACCCGGGGTGGGCGACAATTTGCCCCAGCATGAGAGTGGGAGCATCCTGCCTACCAATGGGTTGCCGCACCTAGAGTAGCTCAGGCACTCGAACAGGCGACCAGGGCCCATGTCACCGGCCGCGCGACGACAGTTTGGGGAACGTAATCCAGTCTGGCGGAGGACAAGGCTATGGATGGATGGATGGACAGATGGACAGATGGGTGCGTTCGCACGCCGCCGAAGCGTGCTAGTGGATGCATCGCAGCATGTCGGCAGGTACTGGGCCCCTAGCAGTACCCCAAGGCTGGGTGCGGGCGAGCGTAAGAGAATGAGGGCGAGAGCGGGTGGGGGTCTATCGACATGGCTGGCAAGCGGCTCGCATGTTTTGGGAGAAAGAGGGAGTTGGATGCGACGGGGCGTCGTAGGTGCAGGCACAGGTGAGCTGCGAGCTGTGAGCTGATCGGGAGCCGCACCAGTGTCAAAACCGCTGGACCGACTCTCGGCTGATAACAGGGAACAGCACCGCAAGTGCTTGAATCAAGTCTTGTGCATCGCAAGCGTTGAGAGATTGACGTTGCTAGAGGCCGAGCAGACACAAATCAAACGACGGCATCATGGCTGAGAAGTGCCGAGCCAAGCAGGGCACGGCCGTCGCGTCTGCGAAGAGTTGCCGTCGATTCGCTTGGAGATACATGTCGTTTTACCACTACGAATACTTTTTAGTCGTCCTCCAGCTCAGCTCACGCGACCATGTGACTTGCCTAACTGTTTCGTCGTCTATCCGCCTCGGCATGGCCCCATGGCTGGCCTGGGCTGCCGTCATCGTGCAGCAAGTCACGTGTCGGCGGCAACATGGGAACATGGGGACGGTCATGTGACCATGTTGCACATGCTCTATACTACTCGAACCACATAACTAGCTGGTAACATTACATAACACTAAGAGTAGGTGTAGTGCACTTCACATCGTCTACCTACTAGTCCTCCTGGCGCTTTTTGTCCAGCCATGCGCATGCTCCACGCCATCACAGATGCCACGAGCTCACCTGCAGGCAATCGCCTTCCAGAAGCTGTCCATCACCCGCATCCCATAAACCTTCGGGACCAGCCGACATGGTCTACTCTACACTGCAGCCCTTTGAGGCATGCACTGCTGCTTCGTGATGCAGCAGCGATACTACATACTAGTGCATATGTCCATCCATCCATACATGCGTAGGCGCTTCTTATCGACAGCCTGCCCCGCTCCCGCTGCCTGCCCCGCAATGCCACATGGCATGCCGCTTTCCTTTTGCTTCACGCCTCCACCACTGCCATCTTGCTCCATCCTGCAATGTGCGCCACTCCCAGTACCATCTGAGTGTAGCATTGACCCTTCAAGGTATAGTCACACAAACCCATCTCTAGTCAGCACTACTTTCTGCGTCTTTTGATCCCCGCTCTCCGCCCTCACCGAGCATCTCTGACTTGGTTTTTCCTTGACAAAGTCTTCTTTACTGGCCCATGATACCCGCTACAGTACGCCTCCAGCTGTGCTTTTAACCAGCCTCGCCTACAACTGGTAAACACGTCAGACAGACTGCGTTGTTGAACCTGCCGTGCGACACACCTGCCGATCAAATCTATTCATCGCACTTTCCTGCAAGAACCACCCCTCCCCGTTCGAGTACATGGATATATAACTTGCTCTTGACCTCGCAAAAGTCCTACGTTGTTCCATATACCAAAAGACAAACAAAAGAAGAGGAGAGTTGCCACCCCCAAATCATCATCATCATCATCATCATCATCATCATCATCATGTGTCGCTGGTTTGCCTACATCTCTCCTACGGAGCCATGCCTCCTGTCTGATGTCCTCATAACCCCCGCCAACAGCATCAGCAAGCAGTGTTCCGAGCATTATCTGCCTAAGCTTCTCCCACACAATGACGACAAAGATCTCCATGACGCCCCCGATGAGCTAATGCGTATGCGAAACTCGCTCTTGAACATGGACGGCTTGGGTATTGCATGTAAGTGCAAAGTCTTCTTGATAACAAAAGCTATTCTTTGATGTACCTTAGCTGCCATTCGAGCACGTTTTACGATTTGGATGTTTTGCTCGTCATTAGCTTACAAGCTTCCTCAGGGTACACCGAGGCCACTTCCTCATACTTGAAGCACGTAGAAGGCCCACGCCCAGCCCTCTACAAGTCACAATCTCCACCCATCAACGATTTCAACTTCAAGTCTCTCTGCCAAAACACCGAGGCAAAGTGTGTGTTTGCCCACATTCGCGCGACCAGCGGCAGTGTTGTGACCCAAGTCAACTCGCACCCGTTTGTCTTTGGCCGCCACGTCTTTATGCACAATGGAGTCATTTCCAACTTTTCCAGTATCCGTCGAGACATGACGGACGAATTCTCCTTTGACGCCTACTGCAATGTGCTGGGCAGCACCGACTCGGAACACGCCGCTGCCATGTATATGACATTTCTGACCGACGGCGGAGACAAGGAGAGCTGGGAGAAGTCGTACCCACTTGAGAAGATGCTCGAAGCCATGAAGAAAACAGTAGTCCGTATCCTCGAGCTGCAGCACGCCAAACTCGGCGATGCAAACACGCCAAACTCTCTCAACTTTTGCACCACGGACGGCAAGAGAATGCTCGCCATCCGCTTCCGGAACCACGCTACACAGCAGCCGCCCAGTCTCTATTGGTCTGAATTTGCCGGCCGTACACTAAACACAAAGTACCCGGGCAACCCAGATAGTAAGCAAGTAGAGAATCTCGAGGCATCGCTCGAGGAAGAGCGGATGGGCAAGCACACCATTATTGCCAGTGAGCCTACCACGTACGACGAGAATGAGTGGCACTTGATCAATGCCAATTGCGCTCTGATGGTGGATGAGGACGGTATCGAGCGAGAGGTCAAGATTGATTATGACCCTTCGTTGAATGCGCGGGATCCAAAGTATGATGGTCATGCGTAATGAGTTACAGTGAGAGAGACAATGAGGTTGTAATGAAGTCGGCCATCATTTGAAATGAAAATTACATGTAAATATGGCAGACTTTGCTCAAGCGAAGTGCTTTGCCTACACCAATAGATATTCAAATGCCAAAAGAATAAGAAAATCCTCAACCAAAATGTACAGGAGTCAAAGATTTGTTCGACGAGAACAATATTGCAACATAAATCGACAGGGTCCAAAGGCTATTCACACGGTCAACTCTTGTAAACGGAGAAGAAGATCCGTGTTAAATGTTGACATGTGTAGCTAGGTAGCTAGGTCACGATCTTCTTCTCTTAAGTATCAGAATACTTGGGTAACTTTTCACATGTGCAAAGCAGTCATGCATAAAAGCACTTGTAAACTTTAACCATGAACGACCGCTGAAGGTTTTACCGGGAGTTCGTGTAGTAAGAGGGGATGCGTCCTTGAGCTACTGATGACTGAGGGGTATCGTCAGTTGGTTGGTTTCTAATACTTACTTGCGTTATCTATCATGCAGCTCCTGCTCTTTTCCAACATTGGGAACGAAAGGATACGCTGATCTCGAAACTTGTAGTTGCTTGCATGTGGGTCAGTTGGTACGACGGACCACACGTACGCGCCATACGGAAAATCACATGGACCGAATAAAAAGGGTGGTACTCAACGTGTACAGAATCCGGTACCGAGTTCTCCAACGTCAGTGTAAGTGTAATGGTGATAACGTCCAGCGGCTATGCATTTAGCCAAGATGAAACGAGGAGAAGCAACCAAATGTCGATGATGCGGGTATCACATCAACACTTGTCGGTCGCTGGGTGTCGGCGGACAAATGACACATTTCGTCCGACCGAAAGCCGAAACGTACTGTTGCGAGCGCGACAATGTGAGTATGGTGGCTGTGCTAAGCAAGACGAACACGCGAAGTGGCTGCAAGGTTTCCTTGCTCTGTACAAGCACATCATGTGTAACTTGTTTTGAAATAAGTATCAGGAAACCAAGCAACAGAAAAAAACATGTGAGGTGGCTGATATAAGTCAACGAAGACGGTTCCTGGCAGCCAACGGGTTGCTGCGGGACGGAAGGAGAGTTTTGGGCGCAATACGAAGTCGACGTGTGCACCTGGGGCGGGCTGCAGGGACAGGTCATGGGCCTTTAAGATTGATTGGGAGGGCGCCGCCCGCTAGAGTGATGACGATGACGACGCTTCTTCGCATTGCCCACAATTCTGCCAACGGTCGTAATTATAGCGATCATCGGCCGTCCAAATATAAACAAACATTGGATCTGACGTGGGTCGCGCTGCACCGCCTCTGGGGTGAGGCTATCGTGGCAATGGATACGAAGGCGCTCCCGCAAGAGCAGCGGCCAAAGCACGGACAGGACAGGACAGGGCGCCAAAGTGTCGGGCAACGGTTGCAGGCGACAGCCGGACGTGGAGATTTGAAGAAGCGCAGCAAATGTGCCGTCGCAAACGATGTGCAGGCGGGGATGTAGGGCTTGATAGGTTTTAAGCCCGCGTCTGCAGGTGTTGATCTCCCGCGCCAGTGTCTCACATAGCAACGTTTGGGCGCGTCGCCATTGGTCCGGGCGCCGATTACGCGGATGTGGCTATGCCGGTTTCATGCCCGAGCCCTTGATACATGATCCTTCTCCCCTATCCTCCGTCGCGCCACAACCACCACCACCAACATCACCCCTCTCTTCCCTTCTACCTCCCACCCCCCACCCCTTCTTCTTCCCCACGAATCGCCCGTTGCCCGGATTTTCCTTCTTCGACACCAAAAAAAAAGAGGCGCTGCCCCAGATACAAACTCGCCCGCGACCCGAGCTTCCCGCCCAACTGGACTTTCGCTCCGTCGCCCATTTCCCGCCCGCCATCTGGTCCCTTGACTCGCCAAAAATATCTTTCCCGCTGGACAGGGCCACCCACATACCGCGCCCGCAATGTGGTTCCGCAAGAAGGACAGTGACATTGAAATGTCGGGCATGATGGAAGCCGAGCAGAAGATGAAGACGAAGAAATCAAACGGCCCTCCCGAAGAGACAGAATACCAAAAGTTCGACTGGAAACGCTTCTTCCTCGCTCCAAAGTACATACGTATGTTGACATGTGTCACCCCCTGCTGATCCCCGTTTGCCTCCCATCCCCCTCCCACTGCATTTTTTATCTTTGCTGACACTGGGAAATTAGCATGGCACATATTATTCATCGTCATCGGCATCATTACTGTCATCATCACCATCAAGCACGACGAAGTTGTAGCAGTACGTCCCTCTCTTTTTTTGGCTCACCGCATTTCCCTTTTTTTTTTAACTTTCGGGGAGCCGGTGGGACCCACGTGACTGACGCATTACACCAGAAACTACGACCGTGGTCGGAAAAAGTCCGTGACTTGCCGGCAGGATGGTTAATACCCATTGTCATTCTCGTCATTATTTCTTTCCCGCCACTCTTCGGTCATGAGATTATTGCGCTGCTGTGCGGTGTGGTCTACGGACTCTGGATCGGTTTCGCCATTGTTGCAGCGGGCACTTTTATCGGTGAGGGTAGGTTTATTGTTTTTTCTTTTTTCCGTTCTGCTGACCCCCGAATTTCCGGCCCTTTTTTTTCTCTCTCTCTCAAACGTTGGCTGACCATACTTTTTGCTCCGCAGTCGGCACTTGGTACGCTTTCAAATATGCTTTCCGCAGCAAGGCCCTGAAATTAGAACGCACAAATCTTAATTACGGTGCTCTGGCCCGTCTGACGCGTGACGGCGGCTTCTTCATCGTCCTTGTCATCCGACTTTCGGCCATCCCAGCACATTTCTCCACGGCCGTCTTCTCCACCTGCGACGTCAAGTTCTGGCATTTCGTCGTCGCAACCTTCTTCTCGCTCCCCAAGCAAATCTTCCTCGTCTACCTCGGTGTGCTGCTCCTGCAACAAAGCAACGACGATGTCATCAAAACGGTCATGTTCACCGCTGTCTTCATCATCACCATCGCAATGGGCATCTGGATCTACCTCAAGATGCGCACCATCAAGAAGCTGTTACTCGAAGAGCAGGAAATGCGCCGCGTCAAGAAGGCCGAGGCTGTCGAGCTCGTGCCTAGCCCTGAGAGTGCGTACCAGAGGCGATATGACGAGGAGTCTGCGACAGAGTGGGCGCCCATGCAGCCAAAGCAGGTTAGTAGGCCGATGGAGCGGCGGTACGATGACGATCATGGAGATTGGGCCATGCAGCCTACACAGCCAACGAGAATGGTTTGAGGAGGGGGCTTCTTCTTCTTTCCCCCCATTTCCATTCCCTCTCTCTCTCTCTCTTTTAACATTTTTTTTCTTCCAACACACTTGAGAAGAACTTGTTTTTTTCCATGCTCTCCGTTTTGTACCAACAAGAGAAAAAAGACTACAGGAGTAGTTTTTTTTTCCTCTCTAACTGCTTAGGATTTATTTAGGTATTGGTAATGGCATAATGACGTTATGAATTATTTTTTTTGGTTGAATCAAAGAAAGAAAGTTTTATAATTCTCTTCCTCTTCCTCCTCCTCCTTCTTCTTCTTCTTCGGTTGTTTTTGACCAAAATATCACAAACGTGAATCCCCGTTTCTCTTGCATTGACGCAACTTGTGGAGAAAAAAATATTTGATTTCAATGCAAAACGTCTATTGCTATCTTTGGTTAACGTTGGGCGGAACAATGGNGGCCCCCCCCCCCCTCTCTCTCTTCTTCCCCACTCGTTCTGGACCCACACATATTGCCATTGCGGAAACTTGGGGGAAGGGGGGTTGTTTGGCATGATTTGTAGGGTTCCCCTCCCCCAGCCCTTTTCTTTCTTTTTACCCTTTGCACTCATCAAAAGATGCGTTATATTGAAAGCTTCCTGAAATGGATTTTGTTTTGTTTTGTTTTTTGTTATGAAGATTGGGCGTCGTTCACACTTGCAATTGTTTGTTTCTTCTCCGATTGGACTTTTTCGCATTTCTGGTTTCTCTCTCTCTCTCTCTCTCTCTTTTCTTTTTCTCGGGTACTTTCTGAGAGAGAGAGAGAAAAAATGGGTAAGATGGAGAATATGAAAAGTCGTGGGAGGGAGAGAGTCTGATGGCAGCAGGGCGATCGGGACAAGCTTGATGTGAAGAATTCTGTTTCAGCATATGTATATTTACTACTTACCAAGATACGAATTAGACCAGGGCGTAGCAAGGAAGAGGAATGGGTTGCGAAATAAATGTGGAAGTTTTCCGTGAGACTAGGTTTTTTTGTCAACATTCGTCCATGTACAAGTAAGTAGTATGTGTGTGATTCTAGTTCTCCTTTCTTCAAACAAGAAAGAACGTCTACAAATATGTGTATGTGTATGTGTGTGTGTGTGTGTGTGTGTGTATATACACCGACTCGCTGAACAAAACAACCATCCATCTTTTTAATAGTGATTTAGGTAGTGTATCTAAACCACGGTACATAATCCGCAAGTTCGCTCTCCATCGCCTTCTGCTCCTCTGTGAGTTCCTGGTGTCCCGTCTCGAGCGCAATCTTGTCACGGCGCGCATTCTCCATGCGGAACCAGTTTGACATGAAGAAGGTGAGGAAGAATGCCATGCTATCAGATGAGTTAGCAACACGATACTTTAGTCAAACTACGTTGTAGAAAACTCACCTCACAAACCCAATCAAAATACTATGACCAGTAATGAATCGCGGTCCATCGCGCGAAACATAGACGTACGATGCGATGATGCCACCGCAGTTGCCGCCCATGACCTGCATTGCAATGCCTGTCCCGCGCTTCAAGCTGCCGCCAATGTTACCGCTATTCCACGCCATGCCGAGCGGGATCTGCGGGTAGATGCCAATGGCCGCGAGGACAGTGCCTGCGTACTGTACGCTGGGCGCGCTCGTAGCAGCGAGCATGGCGAAGCCGGCGATGGCGATGAGTTGGAAGACCATGAGGAAGATGCCTCGTTTCTTGACGCGGTCAGCGTACCATGACGCTGCGATTGTGAAGACGCAGGCGCAGACGTAGGGCGGGACACTCATGAGTTGGGCTTCGTTTGCGGTGTAGCCCATGTTTTTGATGATGGTGGGGAGGAAGAGGGCGAAGGAGTAGATGGGGCAGAAGCCCGCCATGCAGATGAGCATGAAGATGTAGATCTTCCAATCCTTCAAGGCTTGGTAGACGTACTTCATGTTGAAGTCGTTGGAGAGGTGGCCGGAGTCTTCGCTTAGGCGGCGCTGTACTTCCGTACGCTCTGTGGAGGTGAGGAAGCGGGCGCTAAGAGGGTCAGTACGTTGTTATAGATGACCCATTGGTTGAGAGGGGAAGAGGTGACTTACGTGGCTGGGTAGTCGTAGATGCACCAGTATGCTGCCATGGAGACTAGAATACTCAATAGACCCTCTAGGATGAAAATCCAGGACCATGCCGCCCGTCCGCCTACGCCAGACATTTCTGCAATGCCTCGTGCAAGGATGCCACCGAACGCACCGGCGAGAGTGGCGGCACTGAAGAAGAGGGCCATTCTGAACCCACACTCATCTCGCACATACCTAATAGAAATTAGCTGTAACCTAGACTAAAAAAAACCAAGGCTCCACCTCCAGGTCTCAGATGCAACTTACCATTGGGATATGTAATAGTTTACGCCGGGGAACAAGCCCCCTGGAAAACAGTTAGCGGTTGTATGATCGTACGTGGTGATGGGCGAATAGGTCACCTTCGAACACACCGAGGAACACTCGTGTAGCCATAAGCCCCGAATAGTTCTTGACAAAGCCCTGCAGAATCATGGACAGCGACCAGAAGAACATGATGAAGGTAAGCCAGATGGAAGGCCGAGTGCGCTTCATCATCATGTTGGACGGTATCTCTGCAGCAATGTAGAAGGGAAAAAGAACAGCGAGACAATCATTGTACTGAAGGCCATGCAGGTTGAGATCTTGCTCAAGGTGATCGAGACGAGCATTGCCTATATTAGTACGGTCGAGGAAGCAAAGTCTGGACATCTGTGAGAAACAGAGAAAACAACAGTTGAGATACGAAACCTACAAATAGATGAGAGACATGAAAGGAATGAGATGCCAATCAAGCTTCCGTAGTAGCTTCTTCGTGCCTACTTCATCAAACCCGTTTGTCTCTACATCCTCAACGGATGTACCAACTGATACAGGAACGACGGTAGTGTCGTGACCAGTCTTTTCTGCCATGGCGACCAAGGATGCTCGAATTTCCTAGCAAAGGCCTCGTCCTCAGGCAAGGGCTGAGTATCCTTCAAGTACTCATTGTGCTCTACGCTGATGAATTTTGCAGATGCATGAGTGAGACAGTGCATTGTCGCCGTGCAGTACCAAGGTTCCAGACTTGCTGTCTTTTTGCAAGAGGCTACAGTAGTGTAGCACGCCTATCTTGCCTCTTGCCCACGTTGGTAGTGATACCCCGAGCTCAATATGCTCGTGTCACGCAAGAAGAGCTCTCAGTGGCTGGATGGTGCAGGCACCTCGACCAAATTAGCCGGTGAGGCGAGAAAGCGGCTAGGGCTTGTCTGGGGTAGCCAAGGCGTAATCTGTACGTTTATCTCTGCCATGTCAAGGCTTGTAGCTAGCGAGCGCAACGGTAAAGCTTGGTTGGCTAATCGCTGAAGCTTGTGTACGTGGGCTGACATGCATGCGGATTTTGGTTGTATCTGGGAAACGGTCATGTCAGCTTCATCAGATAGATGTGCATGAATCTCATTCATATGTAACCATGGTAGACTTTGTGAGCAACAAGATTAGTCCAGATAAATTTAGCGCTGCATGCCTGTCAAAAGATTAGGGCAAAGACAGGGTTTCGCCCTGCGCGCACTAAGTTCTTTTCACGAAATCGGATCTAGCACATCCCTCGGCGGTTAACGAGATCCAGAGCGATCTGGAAGCCCTAATTTTAATCGAGGCCTCCTTCCTTCTCCTGCAGCACTAGTCCATGTCTGCTTTGTCTCGCCAAGCATTTGATGCAGTACGGTGAAGAAACATATCTTTCCCGTGGCCTTGGGCACACTGCTGAAAAAGGGTATTGTGCCGAGAGGGATCGATTTTCCTGGAGCTGCAGGAGGATAGCATGACAACGCAGAGAAAGCGTTTCAGAATCAGACGGGTGGCAGTGGTAGGTGTAGTGGAAGAAGAGGCACATAATGGATGTGATGACCTGTGTGATTCGCACCAAGGTGAGCTGGTCGGTTTCGATGCTCTTCAACGTCGGCTTGGATGTGAGCATAAAAGTATGAAAAAGTCAAGCCAGGTTGAGGAATTGGTGTTGCTTTTAAACTTTGATTGTGTAAGGTGTTTTGAGGTTCTCTCACAGAGTCACTTTCTTGACGCGGCTGAAATGTGTTCTGCTCAAGTTAATCACGAGTCTCAATATTCGTTTCCAAAGCAGAGAAAGAAAATGTTCTCTTTGAAATACTTCACTAGTGAAAACTGTCCAACCGTTGGCGAAGATGATCAACCAAACTGTTGAAATGTGACGATTCAAATTTGTAACTGGTTAGGAGGCTGGATACGCCCATACAACCAGTGAAGCGGCAAGTAGTCTACAAGCAAGGGCAATCGTTTTTTGAGCGTTGCACAGAAGACAGAGTGTTTGTAGCGAGCAGGTATCATTCGTTTGTAGAGGTCCGGCAAGCCGCTACAAGAAATCACCCTGCTGTTGACATATTGGCGACAGGCGTGTGCAACGATGTCAGCGCGATGGATCGGTCGCCCTGTGTTCCGTTAGTGCTTGGATAGCAAACATGGTTAGTAACTGCCTTGTCGGAATGGCCCTGACCATTTTTCCATGGGCTAGTGGCGGTGATGCAAGACAAATGTGAATTCCAAAATGGGCTGAATTGAGAAACCACGAAGTTCCCAGTGTCTAGCTTCCCCATGGTTGATCTGGAAGAAGTCATTCAAAGTCAACTCTATGGTCACTATCACCAGTCTCATCATCGTATTTGGGGAATTACGAAAAGTGTGTACCCCGCTTGTCTTTTGTGAAACCCAATTTGCTGACTGCCCAGGATAGCCAAATTCTCTTTTCCGGTTTAATGGCTTATCCCACCAATGGCATGTCAGCGTCGCCGTCATCTTTGCCCCCTTAAAAAATATCAACCCCCAGAAGAGTTGCGATGGCCATGTGTGCGGAACGATAGACCGGAGCGGCGCTGGTTTGTGATGTCAGAGTGCATCCAGCGCGAAATACCTGCATTGAGCGGCAAGCCAATAGTTCACGGGCTGTGAATTAAGGCCAAAGCCGAGTGTGGTCCTGGATTGCGAGGGTCAACTTGGGAGCGTACGCATATACACCTATATGCCCCTCTCTGCAAACATGGGGCAGATCTGTCTTGCCGATCCTATGCCAATCCGCCTCCAATGTGCCTACTGATCCGCACGCCACTCAGGAGCCGTTAAGATTTTACTGTAAGCTGTCTTTGTGGCGGAAGAGGAGAAGCCGGGGCGGTGATTCGTCAGCTACCATGATGATGATTTCACTGGAGCTGAAAGCAAGTCGAGCAAGACCCCGTTGTACTGTTTCAGCTGGTTCTCAACCACGGGAAAAAAGGGGGTCTGCAGGGTAAAGGGGCCATGTAGTAAAGGGATAAAACATGGTGCTTTGGAGGTGACGTTTGATGCAAGGACACAGACAGGAAGAGGCGGGCGGCGATGGCGGGTTGTGATGACAGCAAGGGAAGTCGCTATTGGTAACGTCATAGGGAAGGCACGCCCAGGCGCGCCTTCCGCATGCACCCATGGATACATAGACGAGTACATGTACATATGCAGAGGCACAAGACGTCTTGCCATGACCAAACACAGAGCTCAGCTATCCCCCAGCTAGGAGGCAGCAAAATAACAAGGCAGACTCTGTGGCACGACGCGTTGACGCGTTGTGTGGCGGGATGGTGGGAGAAAACATGGGCGTCTCCACCGGGCAGCGCAGTCACGTGCGGCTGTCTCGGCTGCAGGCCAACCTCAAATGTTCGCCGAAGCAGAGCAGCTCTTCTTTTGTCGCCGCAATACGACTGCATCCCCCCACCAAATCCCGTGCCACTACACACTGTGCCACCGCCTCCTCGTCCCGCCTCGCACGAAACCACTGCCCGCCTGCCACCTTCACCTCGACTGGACCTGCCTCCAACACATCGCCGCATCCATCCCCACACTAAATCTTCTGGCATCGACACCACGCTCCCTCACCACTCTTTGACCCACCACACCATGGCTCCTACTTCTTTTGCTTCGGCAGCTGCGGGAAACAGCGCCAATCCAGCGCGCGTAGAAGCGGGCGGCGACTGGTAAGTCGGCCCTCGTCTCTGTTTGCACCTCTTCCACACGCATCCTTCTTCACTCTGGGCGCGCGGTGCTCGCCCATTCCAAGTCGCTACCAACAAAAAACTGTTCTCTTACCCTATACAACCCCCGACACCCATCGCTGCCAATATGTGGCGTCGCAATTGCTTTGATACTCATGCCGACCGCAGGGCCCGACGCACCAACGGTGCCACGCAAACATTCCGCCGACCCTCACACGCGACCAGCCTTTCCGGATCAACAACCCAACCAACCTCACGAGACCCTCCTGCGCCACAAAATACCTCAACCAGCGCCGGCGTATATGTCCCCCCACATGCACAGCCTGGCCGCAATGGCAGTTCGTTTGAGGGCCGGTATTCGCGAGATCAATTGACGCAGTTGTTCCGGATACAGCAACAGGCTGGAGACCTCAGCGACGGACTGTCAGATTTGTACATGGGCGTATGGGAACCTCACGCTACCAACGGGGCCTCGGGCGCGTCCTGGGGCCGCAAAGACGATCATGGTGGTGGCAGGGAAGCGCCAAGCGGGGTCGACCAGTGCTGGGACAAAGACGGCAGCATATTGCCGCTGAGTCTCACAGACATGACCGACGAAGAGAGAGAGGTAGGCTGTTGCTCATTGCACAATGCAGCGACCGAGGCTAACGTGCGCTTTCTCGCTTAGATCTTCCTTTCGTCTGTCAACTCGCCGCTGAAACCCCCCACGCAGAACAACAACAAAGACGGCACCCCCAAAGAACCTCTGTCACTGCGCAAGTCTTCGGTGTCGCAAGGAGCAGGTACTCCCTACGGTCTGTCCTCGCCCACTACCTCGCGACCGGGCGCTCGACGTCGCGACACCGGCGAAGCCTATCCCTTCCCCTCCTCCCCCGCTACCTCACGATTCGCGCGCGAAGAAGGCAGTGCCGTCACCCCGCCGCCTGCTCTGGTACGTCGTCGGACGGATTACAAGGAGTCTGCAGAGGGTCGTCTGGGTGAAGAACGCGATCGGGAGAAGGGTGCTGGCGACAACTCAGGTCCTTTTGGTCCTGCGAAGCGCAGCACTACGGCGCCGTTCAGCCCAGGTGCTGGTGCATCGCCTTGGTCTGCAACGCCTGGTGGTGGCTTTGGTGCATTTGGAAGCTTCGCCAATCCACAAGCAGATAAGAAGCCTGGTTACGGTAGCTTGCGCGGCGAGAGTCGCTTCAAAGGTCTAATGGGCAAACCAAGTGTTGAGGACTTTGGCAACGGCCCGAAGGACAAAGCTTCGACGAATAACTTGGGCAAGCTTAGCGAGGCAGAGCCCTCAAAAACTGATGCATCGTGGATGGAGGCCCGCACCAGCCGACCAATGAGCAGCGACACAGATCCTTTCCCCGACCATGACCACCCAACGGGCAGTGCTGCGCTTCGCGGCGAAGACGTTAGTCCGCCCCGACCTCAAGGCTTCGGTAATTTCGCAACGCCCCACCGCCCAGACCACCGTGATGACTCTGGATTATCTGCATTCGGAATGACTACCGACAACATGTATAGCAAGAATAATTTCACAGAGCAGTCGCCCCTCCGTGGAGCTGGTAACGAGCCCATGAGCCCAACGGATACCAATCCATACCAAAGCCCGCATCACGCACGGGATCAGCATGACGACTCGGACGACTCCGGCGACCAAAACGCCCACTTTCCTGGCATGAGCAGCTTCCACATTGACCAGTCGGTCCACTCAAGCATTCACAATGCCTTTGGTGGCCTTGGAGGCCTTGGAAAGGCTGTGCCGTTCGAGACTGCAGCAAGCGATCGTAGTCAAACCTCCAGCGTTGGCCCCAATCGAGGTTTTCCCACCTTGCCTGGCCTTGGTGGTGGTCTGCCTGGTCTGGGAGGCGCCTCGGCTTGGCCATCTCATACCTTGGGCACCCCAACCCGCGAACGCGGCGGCCTTGGTGGCTTTGAAAGTGCTTTCGGAAACGTAGGTGAAGCTCAGTCGCCTTCTCTAGCTGGCCTAGGCAACAGCTCGTTGTTTGGTCATGGCCATGGCACAGTAGGCCGCTCTAGCAGACTCGGCTCCTTGTTTCCAGCTTCTATGCAAGAGCAGATGCGATCCAACGACCCGAATCGAGCCCCGGTTGACGATGGCTCTTCGCACGGTGATCGCCAACATAGCATGACTGGCACTTTTGGAAGAAATGCTTTTGGCGGCCAAGCGCCCGCTCGTGATACGGATAGCCCTTTCCGCGCAAACCGCAATCTTTTCGACGACTTTTCTAATGCCCATCATGACGATCATAACTCAACAGGACAGCCCCAGAATATAGCTACTACCTCCCTCTCTATGGCTGCCTTGAACCCGACCAGGACTGCCCAGCCATCGACCCCAGGCGTTGGAAGCCCGGCTTCCAGCCAACCTCCAGTTCCTCAACAGCGTATGATGGTCATGCCTGATAGAATGAGGTGGATCTATCGTGACCCATCAGGCAATGTCCAAGGCCCATTTTCTGGTCTGGAGATGCACGACTGGTATAAGGCTGGATTCTTCTCGCCTGAGTTGCTAGTCAAGAAGGCCGAAGAGCCCGACTACGAACCCCTGGCGCAACTCATCCGTCGTATTGGCAACTCGCGTGAGCCTTTCTTGGTCCCCCAAATTGGCATTCCTCATGGCCCCGCTTCATCTCAGCCTGGTAACTCCTGGGCCGGTGCCGGTCCCAGTGCTGCTGCTGCTCCAGGAGCTCAACCTCCGTTTGCAAACAGCTTTCCAAGCTTTGGAACCACTCTTACTGCCGAGCAACAAAATGCCCTTGAGCGTAGAAAGCAAGAGGAGCAGTACCTCATGGCTCGTCAGAAGGAACACTTAGCTGCACAGCAACAAGCGCTTGCTCGCCAAGTCCAGATGGGAGTAATGCCAAACCAGCTCAATCACCATTCCAGTGCACATAGTCTGCACAGCCAACCAAGCTTTGGTAGTATCACGTCACCTGGCGGATATCAGCCATCCCCCCCTCAAGGAGCCGTACCAGGAGCACCCGTTCCTGGGCTAATTGATAGTACATTTAGAGCTGGTCCTGGTCCAGTACCTGGTCTGGGCCCTATTGGCCCTGGTATGGACATGATGAGCAATCGCAGAGACCAAGATGTGCCCGCCATGATGGATCGTCTCAACTTGGGACGAAACAATCAGCCCCAGTTTGGCTTCGCTGGACAACAGCAGGACCAAGATGCACATGCGCAGTATGTGGCCTCAGTGATCGGCGACCGGGCTCGCTTGAAGCGCGAACAAGCTGAACATGATGCCATGATTCGCCAGGGCAGTGCTGAAGACGTACAGGCTGCTCGCAATTTCGCCGAGCGCTTTGCCGAATTCAACGAGCTGCGAGTCCAGACAGATATGGAACAGCCAAAGGCGGTCCCTCCGCCAGAGGGTGTCATCAGAAAGCCTTCTTCGTCGTCGGCTCAGCAATCACAGCAAGCTTCTGAGCCTGCATCGCCCGTTGATGCAGACGGTCAAGAACACCAACCTGAAAACAAGGAGCAGCCATCTTCTACTGGACAAGAGCCACTGTCGCTTACTGAACAAGTGCAGAAGGCTGCTTCTGCTAAGCAATCCCCTCAATCTGCAAGTGCGTGGAACAAGGTTGAGCCCGCCATTTTCCCATTCCCACCACCACCATCCCAATCTCCTCTTCCCGCACCTGCCGCTCAGAGGAAGCCAATCGTTGCCGAAAATCTCAATGCCGAATCTCGCTCGGGTGCAGCAACTCCAGCCGCCGATACCCCAAGCGTCTCGGTTGCACCATGGGCGAAGGAGCCTGTCAATGCGTCCCATGGGCCTTCTCTGAGGGAGATTCAAGAAATGGAAGCAAAGAAGGCCGCAGAGCGAGAGGCCGTTGCAGCTGCAGCTCGTCGTGAAGCATTCGAGAAGGAGCTCCAGGCTCAGAATCAGTCGCCTGCGGTGCAACCTGGTTTGCCTTCCAGCTCTACTTGGGCAAGCGGTGCATCTCCCGTCACACCTAGTGCAAGCAATGCTTCTGTATGGACCAAGCCTGTGGCAAGTAAGGTTGCCGCACAGCCGACTCCAAGTTCCAAGAAGACACTTCAGCAAATTCAGAAGGAGGAGGAAGCTCGAAAGCAACGTGCCGCAGCTCAAAGTGTTGCTGCAGCTAACGTATTTGGATCGCCAGTCCCACCACCATCTGCTGGAAAGCGATATGCTGATTTGGCGGGCAAGAGCACCCCTGTGTCGCCTGCAGGACCTGCAGGGCCTCCTGGTAGCAGCCCGTGGACCACGGTTGGCGCAAGTGGAAAGGTCAAGGCACCAGGTGGTACGACAACGCCCGTTCCTGGCGCCGTTCGCTCGGCCAGTTCTACTATATTGCCCTCTCTCGCTAAGAAGCCCACAGTCGCTCGCAGTAGTACTGCAGGAGCACCGTCTGGAAAGCCGAATGCGGAAGAAGAATTCCGCAAGTGGGCTGTCAATGAGCTCCGCCACGATCTTAACAAGAACATCAATGGTATGCCCTAGCCTCTATTTCGATAGAGTCACGCTTGCTAACGTTGATACAGCCGAGGACTTTGTCTCGTCCCTCCTCAGCTTCCCTGCTGACGCCGAACTTATTACCGAGTCCGTTCACTCCGCCTCTAGTACACTCGACTCTCGCCATTTCGCCGAGGAGTTTCTTCGTCGCCGAAAGCTAGCAGACAAGGGCATCATTGATGAGCGCAACACCTCTTCTCCTGCCGAGAACAAGGCTGCAGGAAGCGGATGGTCTGAAGTCGCCAAGAAGGGTGGCGCCAACGCGACCCAGCAGCAGCCCCTGGATTCGAGCAACTTCAAGGTTGTTGCTCCCAAGAAGAAGACCAAGCGGTAAATTCGTCACGACTTGCTGCTGTCCGTTGTTTGAGGAAAAGAAAAAGCATGTTTTTTTTTCATGATTCGAGAAAGCGTAGCTGCAGTCAAAAGTATCTGAGCTCGGACGAGAAGCAATCTTTGCAAGCGGTTGAAGGAAAAAATGACAGGACCAGTATGTAAAGGATGGCGATTGCTGTGATGAGTGGACAGTGCCTTGGTGTACGTTCATTTTACTGTCCCTTAGACAACAAGCACATGGTATTCGTTCTATGGCTCTCAAAGGATGTGTCGCCAACTCTACCGTAATGCTAGCACTAGTAGTAGATTCAATAACACACCACATTGCTGTTCTGTCCCAAGTTGGTTTCCTTGCTCTCTGTCCTTGTCCTTGCACTCTAACGATTTGACTCACCATCCAATATTTTGGGTGAATGAGTGTCCCAAGACCCTCTCTCTCTCCTCTTGCATAGAGAGAAAGAGAGAGAGAGAGAGAGAGAGAGAGAGAGAGAGAGAGAGAGAGAGAGCCACTATGTCGCCTCATGTATATGAAAACCGGAGAAATACATCACGCACACATTCATCGTAAGCATTAGGAGACAATTCTTCTATTCATATATGTATTTCACCATACCACATTGCCCCCCCTCCCCCCTACGTACCCGGAGTCAATAGCGAAACCAGCCCAGCCCTTGCCCTCCCCCACCATCTCCATCACGACTGAAGCTTGGCAAACAAGAAAATCAAGAGGAACGAGGGTGAGTGGGGAAAGGAGGGGGGTATTCAATTTCTTCATCTCAATCTTATCATCATCACTTATCAACACCCTATAAAAAGAGAGAAACAGAGAGAGCGCAATGAGACTTCAAGGGAGGGGTTTTTTTTTTTCATCTTCAATTCCACAAAATTGGAAAAATAGCAAATTGGTATATTTCTTTTCTTCGCGCCGATTCGAAGGTGGCCAGGTAAGGAGTAGTAGCAAGTTAGGATTTGGGAGGAGGGGGAATCATTTCGAAATCGACACAAAGAGGCTTCAAAGGTTACAGGAGCAGCAAAAAAGCAAAAAAGCAAAAAGAAACGCCATTTGGAAATAAGCAAAGGGGAACCCCGCACACACGCGCAAGAAAACAGCAGCAAAACAAAACAGTAAAAACCAGAGAGAGAGAGATGGAGAGAGAGAGAGAGAGAGACAAAGACAAAACAACCAGCCAGGCCAGGCTTATACGTAATATTCGCCGTAGGAGTGGGAAGGTTTTGGGGGTATAATTCTTTTCTCGTCGCACACGTACAAGAGACAATTGAACGCGTAGCGGTGGGGGGTATTCTTCGTTAAAAGGCCGGGGGGGTTACAGTAGTGGTATCAAATAAATGGTTCGAGATTGTTGGTGTATCATTTAACGAGGAGGCCCAATAGGGGCCGGGTATCCAGATGCAGAATGAGAAGTGCTAGGGCGCCCGCTGTCCACGGAGCCCCGCGGATCGTACCGGGGAGTCACGTCCCCAGACGCCGCGGAAGAGGAACCAAAAGGAAACTTGGACTCAAAACGAGGGGCTGGCATGGGCCAGCCGTTGGTGTGGTGCTCATCGTCTGCTAAGTTGATGCCGCTGTCGTTCCATGGGTTGCGGTAGCTACCGGTGGACTCGAGGCTGGCAAGGGATGCCTTGGAAGCGTTGCTAGAAGCATGCTTGAAGAGCGACCCGGGTGAGTTTGTGTTTTTACGTCCGTTGAAGATGGACGTGAAGGATGACATGCTGCCTGGCTTGCGAAGGCGGTCTAGCATACCACGAGGCTCATCATCACCACCAAAGTGAGAGCGAGTAGGAGAGTCCGTGCTGTCGACAGCAGGCTCAGCACGCTGTAGAAGCTTCGACTCAAAGAAGGGTAGAGAGTCTTCGAAAGAGTCAGACTTGGGACGTGGAAGCGCGCCACGAACCGTGTTAGTATCTAGTCCGTGCATGACAAGGTGATTGAGCAAGAAGTCAATTGCATCCTTCAAGCCACCGGCATTGTTGCGAGTGAAGACAATGTGGAAAGCCTCAACCTGCTCTTCTTTACCATCAATGGTTTCAGTCTGAGCCTGCTGGAGCTGGGCATCGACCTCATGTTGAGTCTTGAGCTTGTCGAGAATCTCAGCCTTGAATTCTGCGGAACGAATGTGCTCGCTAAGCTCAGTGGTTGAAGGGAAAGCTAGATCGTGGGATTCTGGCACCATGCCCTGAAATTTGGTTAGTAGGGATGTCTTGGGATAGGATTGTGGGAGAAAAAAAAAATTAAAAACAAAAAAAGAAACATACCAAGAATTCATCGACTGCGAATGGCACCTGATACTCAGGGCCAGACACAGTAACAATGTCACTAGCCTCCTCAGTGCTAGGAAAGGTAATCTTGCAGTTGAACTTCTTCTCTAGCTCGTCAATCTTGTCCAGGCGGGCAATGAGCTCACGGTGGTACAAGCGGTTGATGTTGATAGTCTCGGAGACGAACTCAGCATCGGCCTTCTCAACCATATCCATAATCTCTTGCTTGACGAGGTCTAGGTTCTGAGCGTTACGTGCAGGTGTGCGGCAGATGACGTTGTCGACCTTGATGTCGTCTTCTTCTTTGCCGAAGCCACCACGGTCCATGGCATTGGAAAACTTGACGAAGACGGAATACTTCTTCATGATGCGTTGGATATGCTGACCGCCGATGCCAATGATGCGCTTGTGGTACTGGTCAGGTACATGGAAGGAGATGGATGCTGGCATCTCCTGTTCTACAAGATCTAGACCATTCTTTGTAGCTTCGTACTGAGCACCACGGACTACAATGTAGAAGTTGTACTCATTGAAGCCATCAAAGACAATCTGAACACTGCTGTGGCTCATAATCTTGTTGATCTTGCCATTCTTCTTGCCGCTGACAAACTCCTTGTGTTCGTTGGCAAGCTCAATCTTGACGCTCATGTTGTACTGCGACTTCTTCACAAAGGGAATGTTACTGATGACCATTAAAGCAGCTCGTACAGCATCATCAGATCCATAGATATGGAAGTTGAGCTTCTCGAAACTGACTTCGGCACCAGAGTTGATGCAGATGTCGGAGAGCATAGCACGAACGTCAGCTGGAGTGGGAGGACGTTGCGTAGGGTCAGGGTGAGTGATGAACCACGATGCACTGTAAAACTGGCCGGCCTAAAAAGAATTTTGGTAAGAAGATGGGTTACAGTGGGCAGACAGACTATCAGAGACTTACAAGTTGCATGAGTTCGCGTACAGTGCGCTCAACGTGCAAGACGTCAGTGCCCTGTACGCGCACAACACCACGCTGGACACCAAGAGGAGGGAGCAGGATGTAGGATCCATTGTTCTCGATGATCTTGCGGACTTTGTCAAGACGTTCGAGCAGAATAGCGTCAAGCTTAGTGTCAGTGACCATGACGGGCTTCACGAAGACTTTGGTGGACATGACGAGATCATGCAGGCGTTGCTTAGCGCGCAATATGTTCTCGGAGTTTTCTCCCGTAATGTAGACTAGATCGTCGGGACGGCGCTGGGCACCCGGTGGCGTATAGCCGAACAAGCGCGGAAATGGCGGGGGAAAGTAAATGGCGGTGCCTGTAGCTGACTCAATCATCTTGATGTTCTTGCGTCCACGTCCGCATATGAGGGTATGCATGGTCAATTCCAGCTTCATGGTATCAACACATCGCTTAAGCTGTGACGGCATAGCGTTAGCATGGGAGCGCTAGCGAACATCAGTGGGGACATCAAAAGAACTCACAATCTGGTCGATCATAATCAGCACTCGCGTCTTTGCGTGCTCCATGGTCTCGAGGTCTCCGTAGATGGCGCATCGCAGGCGCGGGTCGGCTCCGGTATCGATGTTGCCATGGAAGCTGGCCGTCTCAATGTCGGGCTGCTTGGGCATGAGCAGGAAGATGTCGGCCTTGGTCGCCTTGGCAATGAGGTCGAGCTGGTTGAGCACAGCGCCTCGGACGTTTTGCGTAGGCGGGTCTATGATGAGCTGCGAATCAATATCGACAAAGGATGATCGCTGTGCCAAGATGTCAGCAACGGGCCGAGGGCTACAAGTGCCGACGGGCAGCCTACCAGAGAAATGGGCGTCGAGTTGAGGATCCGGCAGCGCATCGAGTTGACAATCTCGAGTTCGCCAGACAGACAGACGTTTGTGACGAGGGCCCGCAACGGGCCCCGCTGCAGGCCAGGCAGCGGCTTGGACTCGGCCGACGTAACCACGGCCGACACGCGTCCGTCCGTCTGCTCGCTCACGTCTCGACACAGGTTGCGCAGGTTGTCGACGTTTTGGGCGTGTACAGGCAGTTTGTGTGTGGGCGTCGAATCTGCCGTGCCTTCCGGATGGGTCCATCGCGCCTTTGCCCCAGGGCTGGCCCACATGATGTCGTCCGGGTCGGGGCCGGCGAGATTGGAGGAAAAGGGCACGTTGAAGGAGAGATTGACCTGGGTGCCGGGCGGTATGACGGGCGGGGCTGAGGTTGCGGTCGAGGGCCGCTTGATCGGAGCTGTGACGGGCATTTCGTGGTTGGACCTCGAGAAGGAGAAGCCGGCCGAGGGCGTCATCTTCTCCCAGCCGTGCCGGGCTTGTGCCGGGAAATTCGAGAGTTTGTGCATGGTGGTCGAGGATACGCCCGGGGGTGGTGGCGGGCGTCGGGTGGGTGGGAGAGGGCAAAGGGAAGAAGGACGAGGAAGATGGGGAGCGCAGCAGCAGCTGGCGGGCGAGCGAGCGTCGAGCAAGGCGGAGCGGGCTGCTGATTGGCTGCACTCGCGATGGTGGGCCCCAGCGTGCCGACAACACCAAAAGCAACCTCGCCCTGCGTGGCCACGACCACCGCCGGCCTGCCCTCGCCAGCAGAGGGCGCGCGCAGGGCCGCGGGCGCTGCCAACGGTGCCGTGGCTCTGCTGGGCCTCGCGCGGCTGCTTTGTGCTGGCGAGGGGCGCCGTCGGCCTCGTGTGTGCATGCCTCGATGCTTCTTCTGCGCCGACTCGCCTTGCTTGTTGAGCTGGGCTGCGAGCTGCTGGTGGGCCGAGAGCGTGCACATGGCCGACCAAACAAGCATGGCTGGGAAACACAGCGCGTGCCGGTGACGAAACAGGCTCGAGAGCCAGTCCAAGCGCCTGCACACGACACGCCTCTATCCCCTCGCGTACTCTACTTACACTCCGCCTATCTGGTCCATGTCCACGCACTTGTACACACACAAGCATGCCACACTCACTCGCACATGCGCCTCCACGCTGCCGACTGCTGCCTCCGCGCCCCTGCCCCTGCCGTCCCGTGCCAGATGTTCGCCCGCCAGCCTCATCTGGTATAACCACCCCCTCTGCATACTTACTAGTCGGCCTCTACACCCGGCCTGCCTCACCCTGGCGCCACATCGCCCTGAAACACCCGCCCGCCCACTGCCAAGCCCCTCGTCCATTGACTCCCTCTCGCTGCCTCTTGATACATGCCTTGGTTTTGAGCATCGTGCCACGCTCCACAACTACACAAGAAGCGAACACAACAACCCCGCTAAGCCATGATGCATCATTGTCAACTAAAGCTACCTTCTCTTCTCCCACGTCCTGGGCCTGATCCAACAGCCCCCTCGTATTCACATTACAGCACGAGCTACACAACCCATCCACCAGCTAGCCAAAAAGCCCAACCCTTGTAACAACAAACCTCAATACCGCGCATACACCTGACGCCCCTCGCCAGCATATGCCTCCGGCCCTGCCTCCATGGGCCCTTCCTCAACGTACCGCCGACTTTGCGGCGCGCTGATATACTGGTGCTCCTCCAACGGCTCGTGGTACACCACACTGACTTCTCGGAACCGCCGTTGTTGCGGCCCGCGCACCGCCGCTGGTTGTATGCTTTCGTGCCGCACATAGCCCTCGGCTATCTCTCTTCGCACTCCCTCAGGACGCATACTGTACGCTCGCGCCGGAGCATACTCTCGCCGAGGCCCCATCTCTTCGTACTGTGGCCCAGGTCCATGTTCCACCTCTATTGGCCGACGCGACGCCTCTCGCTGACGATACCCACTCTCCATCATCTCAGCTTCCGGCGCTTCAATGTACCGTCGCGGGGGTGGCGGCATTCTCGGTATAGCCTCGCCTTCGTACAACTCTGTCCGAGCAGGAGCGCGCATGCTAGGCTCCTGCGTAACAGCGCGCTCGTAAAAGGGGTCTACCTCGATGCGCCTACTTGGTGGTGCCATTGACTCTCGAGCATCCACTGGCGCAGCGTAGTATCTGTTGCCATACTGGTCTACAACAATTCGGCGGGGTGGCGGGGCCATGAGCATTGGTGATTGCCCATGTGACATGTATTCGTGCACGGGCGATCGTGACCGACCATGGACATATCGAGCTGCTGCTGGCGGGCGCGTCGACGCTTCTCGGTACACGGGCGGCACTTCTGCGCGCTCCATGAAGGCGTGAGATGCTGCGCGCATCTGACGCGGCTCCGACGCAACATACATCTGCCCTTCACCACTAGGAGAGTACGGCCGTCGCGCATACTGTAGACTTGCAACCCGTCTAAGATCTTGATCGTCGCGCAGTGCTTTGCGTTGTGGTGTGCGTATGACAGTAGGAGATGACGATGGCTCGTCAAACTCCCGGTAAGAACGTACAAATGGATCCTGCTCCCGATAGTAGATAGGTTGCGTTCTAGGACTTGCCTGTGCCGACACAACCTCCAAATCATCCACCTGTGGCTGCAGCGCACGACGCTTACTGGGCTGTGGATCAGAGTAGGATCCGAACGGAGGAGGCGATCGTGGCTCTTCTTTGATATAAGGCTCGGGAGATTGTGCAACCTGTTTGCTGGCTTGCTGTCGTCTCCGTTCCTCTCTTCTTCGCTTGCGAGGGTTTTGAACAGATTGCCCTGCACCGGCTGGGCTCTGGCGGCGTGATGAACTATACATATATTAGCATGATCCCAAACATTCTCAAAATACATGTGCCAGATACACAGATACTGTAGAGCCTCCATTCGCTGTGCAACATGTTTTCCAGGCTGAGATACGGCTTCCAAAGTCGGATGGTGGTACTCAGCAACCGAGCATTGGTGTCTCATGCGATTATTTGGCGTTGAATGTTACCCGGGGTCCAAGACATTTCAAGCGACCATGAAGGGAAATGACGTATACGAAAGAATTCAATATCATACCCGTTTGTTCCACCATTGCGATTGCGGCCCCGGCTTCTTGGTGGCTCACTGGGACCAACGTCGGCTGGAGGCGGAGAATAGTCTTCTTCTTCGTCACCGTCCTCATGTACTTGCGCAGGCTCAGGCTCATAGATTTCTATGTCATCAGCCGGCTCGTAGGCTTCCTCATCCAGATCGATCACTGGGGGCTGGGCGGGACGAGTATGAAGAGTCACTTGCTTGGCAGTTTGTTGCGCCTGCGGGGTCAGTGGAGTTGCAGCAGCATGAGCATGGTCAGCGTGATCAGGCTCTGGCGACCAACTGTCTGCCTTGCTAGAATAATACGAATTCTCGTCAAACGACTCGACGCCATCACTGTTGTTAGCCGTAGGTAGTAAGCCAGAAACAGGCGGAACTAGTTGGTGAGCCTTGATCAAACACTGCTCCACATCGATGAGAGCTTCTCGCTCGTCAACATCGTTGCTGCGGCCCTTGCGGTCGAACTGATCCTTGAGAGCGCGTTCTATTTGCTGTCGCTTAAGCTGCTGCTCTGCCTTGACCAGATGTTCAGACTTTGTGAGCAGGACAGGATCGATGCCCGATGACGAAGACTTGGCCGAATATGGTCGCTGTGTAGGGTGTATAGGAGAGGTAGGGGGCCGCGCCGACGACGCTGGACGCGGAGGAAGCAGCTGTGACGAGGGTCCGTTTGGCGTGCCGTTGGTCGTGGGCCTGGCCAAGGCGGGTTGGGGAAGACGCGGTGCAACCTGTTCAATTACTTTGGCTGGAAGGTGTATACGCGGATGTTTGCTAGCGAAGACCTCATCGCGTATCTGCAGAATCTTCTGGAGGAAATCAGCCTCGCGAAGCACCTCCGCAGATACCGCGCTGGTCCCGTTCAAATGCGACGACGGCGCTGTGGCTGTCGACGACATTGAAGCCATTTGCGCTGCGATTACAACAGAAAAGAAAGCCGGAAAAAAAATTAGTATCAGCACCAAGAAGCAAGCGCTACGTTGGCGATTATACAGATACAGGCAGCACCCGCAACTGAGCTAGGTGTGGGATTGATAAAGGGGAAGGGGGTTTGACAACGGCCAGCGGGAATGCAGAGAGATGGAGTTGCAGCGCGTCTTGGTTTTCAGTGATGCACGCGCCAATCCCAGCTAGTCCGAAACGGGCATGCTAGTTCGCCATGTATTCATCGCGCCTTCGATGATGACTGCAAAGGGAAGGACCGAGTTCCGATCCGACAGAAGTTCCTCGAAACACTCTTCGCTGTTCGTTTTCTGCACCGACACAGAGAGGTATGACGACATCACATACCAATACGGCTGTCTTGCTTCTCGCCTTGTATTGATCTGTACTACTTTAGTGCCACTCATTCCGACCACTCTCTTTACTATTCTTCATTCTAGTATTGGCATCTCGCAAAACATTACGAAACCAACTTCTTTGCCACCAACACCAACTCAACACGATGGACTTCAATACCGCCGCACCGCCGGAGACCATGAAGTATCGGTCGAAACCCGCACATGACTCACACGCGAATGGTACAGCTGTTGTAGACGAGAATGAGAAGCCCGTCTTCTTTTTCGATATTGACAACTGTGTAAGTAAGCCTTGAGGGTTTGATCTATACCTACTGATTGTTATGTAGCTTTACCCAAAGAGTGTGTATTTCGTAGTACACAATTTATAATACTCAACACTAACATGATCAGGTCTCGAAATCCACCGAATGATGAGCGAACTGATAGGTAATTATCCCTCTATATCGGCTGAGCTTCCATAATTCAGTCAGATGTATCACTCTTCTGCTCATATTGGCGAGTTTTGTGCTTTTCTCCAAACACCAGCTCAACTTTTACAGATAAATTCTTCCAAGACCACCTGAGTCTATCACAACAAGACGCCAACGAACTGCACTTCCGGTACTATCGAGAATATGGTCTTGCAATCGAAGGACTCGTGCGCCACCACAAGGTCGACGCACTAGAGTACAACAGCAAAGTCGACGATGCGTTACCTCTAGAGGATGTCATCAAGCCCAACCCGGAACTGCGCAAGCTGATCGAAGACATTGATACCAGTAAAGTCCGCTTGTGGCTGTTTACTAACGCCTACATCAACCATGGCAAACGCGTCGTCAAGTTGTTGCAGATCGATGATCTATTTGAAGGAATTACGTACTGTGACTACGGATCGGAGAAGTTTTACTGCAAACCACATGCCGAGATGTTCGAAAAGGCCATGGCTGAGGCAGGCATCAAGTCGAATGAAAAATGCTACTTTGTTGGTGAGTTGGATCTGAGAATCGAGCTCTTCTCAAACATTACTAATTTCATGTTCAGACGACTCATACATCAACTGCAAAGCGGCTGAAGAAAGAGGATGGAAAACAGCACACTTGCTGGACGAGAAGGATCCAGCGCCTGAAGTACCCGCTAGCAAGTACCAGATCCGTAGTTTGCAGGAATTGCGCAAGATTTTCCCCGAGGTATTCAAGAGCTCGTAAGAAAGAAGGACTGGGGTTAGAATATTGAGGGTATACCTGATATAGAACGGGAGCACCGACGTCTTTCCAACATTGGAAACCCCTTACACCGTTAATCAAGATCGGAAGAGATAGAATTACACATAGAAGGATACAGCCAATACAAGCTTCAGCACAAAGTTTGGGAAGTGGTCATGGAACTTTGTTTACTATATTATCTAAGCTGGAGAGCATCCTCCCGCGGCACGTACCGGCACATGGTCCCAACCTCTTGCTTGTGCTCAAACATGTAAGGAGCAAACACGTGTGTTCATACACTTTATAAACCATACCTCCCGCTCACCGACTGCCTACGCCCCACGGAAAACACGAAGAAAAAGTCGCGTCCACTCCAACACCACCAATGTCTCCGCAACCCACCAAACACTATCAAGTCATGTCCGCACCCATAACCACCAACACAACCACCCCTTCCAACCCACCCGCCCCGCACTCTTCCGCGCTCCCCCCTTCAGACACCACCGCCACCTCCAGCAACCCATCCTCCTCCCAACCCGCCGTCACCTCGCCCCCCGGCGTCCGCCCGCCACGCACCCCCCTCCTCCGCCTCGAACTCCGCGACCTCTCCAGCCCCGGCACACACACCTTCCTGCGCCTCGTGCACGCCTCGACGGCCCTGTCGACGGCCGTCAGCACCGTCCTCACGCACCTCTACACGGGGCTGCCCGCCTCGAGCATGCCGCCCACGCGCTCCGTCACCCTCGTGCTGCGCGAAATGGACGGCGTAGCATACACGACGGGGCTGGACCTGGATTCCGATCACAAGGAAATCCACTTCAATACGTCGTACATTGCGGGCATCGATGCGGGGCGCGCCAAAGAAGAGATGCTGGGCGTGCTGGTGCATGAGATGGTGCATTGTTGGCAGTGGGATGGCCAAGGCAAGGCGCCGGGCGGACTGGTCGAGGGCATCGCCGATTGGGTGCGATTAAAGGCTGGGTATGCGCCGCCGCATTGGAAGAGGCATGTGGATTGTGAGTGGGATGCTGGGTATGAGCGGACGGGCTATTTTCTGGCGTGGTTGGAGGAGGCGCATGGCAAGGATGTTGTGAGGAGGATTAATGATGGGTTGAGGGGTTGCAAGTATGATGAGGAGAAGTTATGGGACGAGTGTTGTGGAAAGGGGGTTAAGGAGTTGTGGGGGGAGTATAAGAAGTGTTATGAGGAGGAGTGTAAGTAAGGCTTATGGGGGGGGATGCTGGGGTGGGTTGGGATGAGGGCATCAAAGATGAGGTTTTGGGTATCTGGGTTACTCGAATAACGCCAAGTTCATGTTTGAATCTAGACCATAGGTCATGTACCGTACACGTAGTTTATGAATGTAATGTCCTTTACGTACTACTGAACTTATCTACAAGTCACGCTATGCACACCTCTCCAACGACCTTGCATTGAATCATATCTTGCTGCTCCCGCTCACCACGTTTCCAGCTTATTTTACTGTTGGCCAGTAACAATGCCTCCGGCTGGCGGTACTGGCTGCCCTTGAGTGCCAATATCCTCCTCTCCACTACTACCCGTCCTTGCCGTAGGCTTAGTTTCCGTCGTAGGCTCTTTGGGCTCTCCAATACCATCCGGCTTTGGCGGCGATTTGGTACCTGGTCCACCGCGTCTCTGCCAGTCAAGCCACGAGCCGCGGTATTCACCAACGTTTTGATATCTGTCTTTGTTAGCTCTAATAGTCTTCAACCGCACACACCATTCTCCATTTATAGTAATTTGTCACTTCATAAGAGGATCAGCTTACCCAGCTTGTCTCGCAATTCCGGCCGCTGCCGAACTCCTAACCCCTGCCTTGCAGAAAAACACAACCTCCTTGCCCTTGGGTGGTTTCTGAAACCCAAAACGATCCTCAAAGTCTTCTTCGCTTAGGAGCAGCGCATCTGGCTGGGATGTAACCGGGATGTTGATAGAGGTGGGGATAGTATTGGCCTCGAATTCATGGGGCTCGCGCACGTCAATGAGTAGGCGAGAGTCGGAGGGGTGTTCAAGAATGTGAAGGACCTTTGAAAAATCAATAAAGTATTCAAAAAAAAAGGGATATGCCACATAGAAGCTACGTACATCCTCAAACTGATAGACTTTGTTTAGGTTGGGTGGCTGTTGCGAATGCCATCTCTTCTGTACAGGCGCCAATTGCACACTTGGGGTGCTTCCAAAAATCGCTAGCTTGCTCTGAGAAGCGCTTGTGCTTTGCTGGCGCAACGCAAGACTGAAAGCTTGTGTAGCATTGAAGCGCAATCGCGAAGTTTGTCGACCTATGACCGAGGCATGTGCGTGGACGCCGAGTTGAACCGCGCGCCTGGAAGCCATTGCTACTTTACAATGCAGCGGGTTAGTTAACAAACTATGTATGAGATCGTTGCTCCTGACCTAGAAGATTTGGCGTTCAGTGTGTTTTGTGAGCAGAGACAATTGATGATGCAGTCCGGAGCAGAGCGTGCGAGTCCTCGGATGTAACGAAATTAATCCCGACGTCACTCTTCGCGAACGCTGGGGCAATTTGCATATACGCGCTAAGCCCTACGACAGGGCTAACATCCTTGAGCCTATGCAAACCATTCCAAGGGCAGACAGTGGCACTGGCGCAAGGAAGCTTTTCGTCAAAAGACTGGGCAGTGTGTAGTTGAAGAGGTGAGTAGATATTTGTACCGACTAAGTTTACAAGCACCAGCTAGCAAGAATCTTGAATCCATCAAACAATCCTAGTATACTCCTGCCATGTGGTAGCGTCATTCAACAACGCCGGCGCAATTGAAACAAGAAGAGTAATGGGGTATTAGACGCCTTCGAGTGACCATATTATGAAATTTCAAAGCCAAAAAAAACCTCCAAATATTGAATGTGTCTCATGAATGCATCAAGAACATAATCAGGCCTACTCATTGCGCTCAACGTCCAAACCACGCAACTTTTGCGACAGTAAACCCGCACTGGGAGGGCTATTCGGACTACTGATGGGAGAGAACGCGTTTCCGCCGTAGCCAACGTCGCCTTTGTTTAGTTTTCCAAAGGCACCATCATTGGAGCGCGGAGACGTGACTGGAGTTTTGAAGGGGCTCTTCGGGTCTACATCCATGTGGTCTCGCGAAACGGGTCGTGATTCAATTGCAGCCAATCGACCGAGATTGAAAGGTATAGGCTGCATATCTGGTATGTGCGAGCTGAAACTGCTCGATGCAGACGAGTTTGTAGTACCACCTGTGAACTTGACAGCTATAGGAGGCATTGGCGCATGGTGGCTCAAGCCGTCAAGCTGGTCGTACGCTTGCTGCGAGTGGTAGCGCGGCCATCCAGCACTACGACGACGCAAGTCTCCTTCGTTGGTGAACTGGGATCCAGCAGATGGAGTTTTTTGTGATGCCAACGAATCGCGCGTTGGTTTATAGGTACTGTACCTTGGCTCTGGCTGTTGAATCTCATTTCTAAGTTTCTCCTTACCGTCAGGGACTCTGTTGGCAAAGACGACTCGTATACTTTTATATAGGTAGTAACGACCTTTTGACGGACAACATATGTGCAAGTGAATCAAGTAACGGAGAATCGGGCGATCGTTGGGGTCATCCGAACCGCTGAGGGCAGCTTCTGGACGATCAGTACCGAGGTTTTTCCGTGAAGAAGCGGGCATGTCTATTATGGGACCGGCAGAATAACTGCGCTGCCTGACAAATGTTTTCTGGCCTGGCTCCATGTCCGACACGTCGTATGGGACTAAGAACAGCTTCACTGCTGTCTTGTTTGGGTTCTTCAAAACAATCTGAAGTTGGCCCTGCGGGGGAATTCGATAGCAGCCCCCAGGAGGTGCTTTTGGTGACGTGGATCGTCGCTTTTTCTTTTCTCGCCGACGTAGATCTCCCTTTACAGCCTGTGCATTTTCTTCGTCACCAAGTTGTATCCGAAAGTCTAGGTCATCTTGATCTGGAGCAGGTGCGGCGTGTCGTCGCTTGCGTTTGCCAGGTTCGTTGCTGTCATCGGGAGCGGGTAGTGAATTTTCCAAGTCTATAAGGCCTACATAGGGACTTGGCTCATTATCTGAGATCCTACCGTTTCCTGTATTGTAACTGTAGAAGACTGCAGGAAACGGAATCGTGACGTGAGGTGGGCACTTGAGGCTTGATTTGCACTGCCCTCGTCCGAGAACGCCAATTTTCGCCACAAAGTCAAGGGGCCGCGATGGGGTTGTAGACATGCGTCCCCGCAAGATAGACTCTTCGTATGAGCCTACCATAGGTGCGTGCTGGAGTGGAGACGCCTCGGATGAGAATGACGGCCGTCGCAGGTTGAGGAATTGTGATTGAGAAAAGGATTGGGGTTCTGAGTGATTGATTGTCGACGACCGCCGAGGTTGATGCGCTTGGTATGGTATCGAGCTGCTGTAGCGTAGATGACGGGCAGCGGGTGTTCCAGTTGTAGAGCGCGCCATGTGGGTAGACTGGCAACCGTGGTAAGACGCCGGAGAGTAAGTGTGTCGACGACTGTTCCTACTAGGGCTTGGAGATGTCTGACGTGAGCTCGGCCTAGAGGAGAAATCCAAATCTGTGTTGTTTGCCTGATGTACGAGCGGGCTTGTTGGAGGCAGAAGCGTTATCGAACTAAGCGATGACCGTGATGTCGTTCGTGAGCGCGGGGCTGTGCGATTGTCGCGGTTGCGCGGGTCGACGTACGAGACGTCATGTCGGTTCGCATTGTACGCTGCCGAGGGAAAAGAACGGTCCCATGGAACGACTGGCGACGTTGCGAGGAAAGTTGAAGACGAGACGCCGTTGCTCGAAGCGCACCCTGCTGGCTTCTCTCTGAAGTCTCCGGAGTGCAATGCCGACCGGGGGCGCTGGATCTCTAGACCTGCGGCTGCAGGGTCCCGCAAGTGTTCAGGAGTGGAGGGTTGTGAAGATTGCAAGTCGGCAGCAGGAGTGAGAGGGGTCTTTGAGCGGTCACGAGAATTGGGGCGGATGGAAGCGTCAGGGTCGGCTGTGATGTCACTCTAAGGGGAAAGGGTCAGCGATGTGCTTGGTATGGCAGCGACGAACCGTGTAGCGACAATTGCCCTCCAGGCGACTCAATACTCACACCCTGCCACTGCAGCCAGGACGGGCTGTGTGTCTTTTTGATTCTCTCTACCCATTCTTTCCGGCCGAATATGGACGACTTGCGCGTTTGGCCGGGCGACGCGGGGTCCGCGTCGAGCGATGATTCAATTGCGGTCGATTCCTGTGCATGTATACTGCTGTTCCACGCTCCCTCGGCACCCGATTCTGCGGTTCCTACTCTTTGGAGGCTGGATGTCACCGGCTCAGGCAAGTTTGATGGCGCCCGCAGGCTATCACTGGGCTCATGAAATATGGGCATGGTTGAAGCAGATTGCGGCAATGGACGGCATAGGCACGAGTGCTGGGCAGATCAGAGCATACAAACGAGAGTGTGCAGGCGCGAGACGGTTGTGGGAGCACGAGGATGACAGTTGAAATGTCGCGATGGCGGAGAGGGCCAAGTTGTCGCGGTGGGAGCACCTGCTGGCCCGGCGAATGGTATGAGTAAGAGTTTCCAGTTTAACCCGGGTGCGCTGGCTCCAGTGGCCGTCTCATTGCACAGGCATGGTGCCCGGTTTAAGACGAAACGCCGTGGAGCCCGGGAGGTGGGGGTGCAGAGCGAGAGAGAAGGAGTGAGTGAGTGGCGCAAGAGATGGATGGATGACGAGGTGCGAGAATTGTCCCGAGGTGGTACGTATATATGTCATTGGCGCTGATAGACAAAGCATGTACGTCGCTGGTGCGGCGACTGCTGAGGCGCTACATCGGGCGCGGTCACACGACGAACAAAAGAACAGGTTTGGTGAGCAGTGGTGACTGCACGTGCCCACGGCAGGAGGAGAATGGCTGTGTCTGTGTGGAAGAAGCAAGGCGATGGATAGGGCTGGGACACGAGGGCCTTTGACTCTGCTATGTACTATGTACTTGCGCATGCACTCACATGCATGCGACCACGCAGTAGCACTCGCACCCTCGTCGTCCCCCCGCCGCCGCCGTGTTCGCCGCCGCCGTGGGCTCCGCTTTGCCAAGCCTGACGGACCTCCGCGCCATTGTGCCTTTCCCATCCTAGCCTTGCCCATCGAAACTTTTGCAACACCACACACACCTTTGGCCATGGGCGCGACACGACCACACGAGGGTGGCGCCAAGTCGTCTGCAAAGAGCAAGGACACCAACAAGAAGAAGGGTTTCGCCATTGGGCCTGCAAATCTGCCCGATGGCACGCACAGAAGAAAAAGTAAGTGCCTCTCATTCACATCCTTGTGCAGCTGCTAATTGCGAGTCCAGTCGAGAAGATCAAGAAGAGTCTCATAGACAAGGCCAAGATCAAGAAGCAGTACGCCAAACTCAAGGCACGCGAGGAAAAGGAAGCCGTCAACCCACCCAAGTCAGTCTATGACCGCGAAGCCAGCACCGAGCAAGCCGACAAGGCGTCCCCTGAACCTACTGCTGAGCCCACTCTGGAGCCACACCCCGACCGTGCTGTCCTGCTAGAGGAAAAGTCGCCTGGACCAGAGCGCCAACAGAACTTCGAGAGGCGTCAACGGCGACCGCGCCCCCAGCCCTTCCAGAAAGAAAGCGAACTGGCCCAAAAGAAGAAGGACGAGGCTGAAGCGCGCCGGAAGGCTAAGGAAGAGGCCGACAGGGAGCGTGCTAAGAAGGCTGCTGAGAGAGAACGCTTTAGAAAAACAATGGCAAAAGCAAGAGGGGGTCCAAATGGCCAGCGAAAGCTGGGCCGCGAAAGCACTGTCCTGCTTGCAAAAGCACAACGACTTATGGGCAAAACCTGAAGCATCTTGCCCAAGTCTTCTAGCGGTTGAGCGAGTATACACACCAAGTACTGTTGTGTCATGCCGCATATACAACCTATCCTCCGGCCCTAGCAAGGGACGCTAGATTCAAGCGTGGAGACTCGTCTCGAGGACCATCATACAAGCTCGTGTCTCACAAAAGATGATTGGATAGCATATATCGGTCGTCTGCGGTCATATATCTGCTACATTCGGTGTGCAAATCCGGAGTAATACCGCGGTGTAAACTGTCCAGTGCTGACACCTGCCGAACAAGGGTCCTTTCCCCGCACTAAGTGTACAGGCACCAAACTCTATCTTTAGTCCTGCTATCCAGGATACACGTGCACTAGGTTCTTGCGTTTTGTGCTTTCAAATCAACTTGATTACGTACGTTGATGCGTAGTAGTCAAACTACACTAACTATCTGATTGTATGGCATGGAATGAAGATAGAATTCAGAACCAAAGATTGTCTTTTACAGTTTCAATGCGACTCAGATCGAGTCGTAACATGCTTTGTTCGGTCTTCAGCGCTGTACCTAAAGTGGATTTGTGTGATATGTATCAACATGTTGTTCGGGCTGGCTTCTGTAGCATGTGTGAAGACGGCAACGCTATGGGCGCGTTGTGGACTGCTCTTCGAAATCGTAGCTCGACCATCATCTCAAAAATCGTTGACTGATGCTGTCACATTTGTGGAGCATTTGCTGCACACGCCACTCGATTCATGTGTACATCGCGGCGCTGACTCGTGGCTAAGGTAACTCACTGACTTCAACTAACATGTACGTACGTTACTGGAAGCCTCGAACGAGTTCTCGATAACACAATCGTCACCCATGACTAGCAGGATGCTTCGTAATTCTCTGGAATTGCTTACAGGCTAATGATACATGTACATCTTACAGGAAGGATTTGCTGTTGTCAAGCGAACAACTTGGGCAATTGTCCACAAGTGCGTCAGGTCCATGATTGTCAGTGCGGCCCCCAGCCACTTAGGCACGGCTTGTGGAGCAACAAGCTCTTCTGACCGGCAGCTGGCTCTGGTGTTCCTCGGTTCGTTAGCGGTGAATGGCCCCATGCAGCCTCGCCTTACAGGCCACCAACCCTTTTCTGGATCCTTGGGGCTGTACACACCATCGTGGCCCGTCGGTCGATGCATTAGCACTGTGCGCACGCGTCATAATGGCAAAGCCTCCTTCAAGTGCGTCTGCAGTAAATCACCGAACAGTTTCAACATGGCCCATCCCCTAGTCGACGCACTCGCTAGCCACATGGAGGAGTGGCCTAGGATACCACGTCTTGGCATAACGCTTCTCTGCAACCCTCTGCCGTCTATTTTCTGCCATAGCCAAGTGCCTGGCCCGCCAAGTCTATGGGCGTGGTGGTATTCGCTTGCGCCTTAAAAACCAAGGTAGATCTTGTACAATCTAGACTCAGATACACCTAGTCAACTTGATTGCTCTTCCAAGCCCTTTCGACACTACTACTTTTTCTGCCAACCTCTTACTATCCCAGCTGTGTTACCAGATCATACCCTCTATGCACTATCTCGTCGTCTTGGCCATCCTAAAGAAACATCTTTGAATCTAACATATTGAGCCGCCAATGGGGTCCCATAGTCACCCTCCCAGAAAATGGTCACTATCAGAAGATCAGAAGCTTAGAGAAGGGGTTGAAGCTCAATGTGAGTCTTGATTTTCTACAATTCTCAACAACCACTACCTTTTCTCTGTGCCTAGCGTCCAGATTGCGACTAGAATGCTGAACAGTGGCTGACATCTTTTTAGTGAGAGAAGGAGAAGTCAAAGATTGGTACGCTCCAATCTCGTATGGTAGAAGCCCGTAGTCTGACTGGACACACAGGTGCAGAATTGCCGATAGTCTCCCTGGCCGAACAAACAAAGACTGTCGAAAACGGTGGCACAACTCTGTGGCAGGGGGGCTCAAGAAGGGACAATGGTCAAGGAGCGAGGATGATTTACTAGCAAGAGGAGTTGAAGAGCACGGCCAAAGGTAGGCCTCAATGGCCCTGATATTCATGATGCTGCTGACAGAACACCACTAGATGGACATTGATAGCAAGCTGTGTGGGGACAAGGAGCGCAGATCGTAAGCATTTCCGTATCTTGCTGACAGCTTGTCTTATTGACCATCAATAGAGTGTGCAAAGCGGTGGCAGCAGTCACTTGATCCAAATCTAGACCGAAGTGAATGGCAAGAAACCGATGTTAGTTTGCAATATTCTCGGAGAGATTGAACAGTGCTGATGTGCTGATTTGATATCTTAGGACAATGAGTTGATTGACGCTGTTCGGCAGCTTGGGCGCCATTGGAAAGATATCCAACGGGAGCATTTCCCAGAAAGATCGAAAAACGATATCAAGAATCGGTATGTTTTGTTGAGAAAGATACTGGACTACTGGCTTACACTTTACAGCTACACAGTCTTGGTACGGCGGTATCAGAACCAAGGCATCACTCTCGCAAACGCTCCAAGCTCTCCATCTGATTGCGGTACACCCGCTCCGTTCCCCAACTACCCAGAAGACGATGGTTATCTATCTCCAAACTCGGCAATGTACGATTCCCTTTTACACACCCCGTCACCGAGAGGACATCGCCTCAGTTGGTCAAGTATGGACAACGACGCATACTCAACATGGTCCTCTCCACAAGCATACACCATGCCTACCGCTATAGCCGATCAACATAGTACACATGACTCGTCAGCAATGCTGCCTCAATATGGATACACCCAGCCACCACCAATAAGCCCAAACATGCCTTCGCCATGGGATCAAACGACCTCGTACATGCACCCTTCATCACCATCACTACACACCGGCGGCGCATCCACAACTCTTTCGATTCAGGGCTATAGCAGCTATCCAGTTGCCCAGCAACCAATCATGTCGCGAAGTCCGGTCTACACAGCCCCCACGGCCCACGCTCCGTATGCCACGATGCCACATGGGCCGCCACGTCGAACGTCTGGTCAGCAGGATTATAACGCGACAACATCGCCAATGTATCAGGATCCTAGAAACTCGCAATATTCCTATTACCCTTCTTGAGGCTGTGCAAAACCGGTCAGGGACCCGACAGGGGAAACGGGCTTGGCATCTTTCATTTGATCATAGATTAGATTTGTGCAAATATGTTCGCTATGTAATTGGGTAGGTAGGAGTCGGAGGCAGGATGGGAAAGGAAGTGTGGCTCTTCACAGGCATTTTTTTTCTTCCTTGAATCCTCTCATGCAACATTGTAACGGTATTTGTTTCCGCCTTTCCACGGCATGTTTTTCTTCTCCTTCTTCCTCGCATCTTATCCATGTCTCGTTTAGGCGGCCCGCAGCAAATCTTAGCTTCCTCCCGTTTATTTACCAAAAATAAACACACCCACACCCACACACACCGAACATTGCATCACTTGACATTCATCACTTGCATTCCATCACATTTACTCCATAGTAAATAACTTGTCTGTGGGGATCCTTCAAGAAGGATGTGCAACAAGGTACCCCC